GGGGTAAAATGGGTGTGGTGTGGGTTTATGTCGTTCTCCGTGGAGTCAAGAAAGGCAAAATCGGGGGGTGAGACCGGGTGAGAGAAAGGGTAGGTGTGTTCATCGAAGACCACATGACGGGAAATTATAATTTTATGGGTGAGAAGGTCAAGACAGCGGTAACCCCTTTGGTTAGACGGGTACCCAAGAAAAACACATCGGGCCGAACGGGGGGCAAGCTTGTGTGGAGCGGTAACAGAAAGATTTGGATAACAAAGGCACCCGAAGACCCGGAGGTGAGAGTAAGTGGGTTTTGTACCATACAGGGCTTCATGAGGAGTGTGGTTTTGAAGAGTGGTGGTGGGTAGAATATTGAAGAGGTGGGAGGCCATATGTAACGCCTCAACCCAGAAAGTAGGTGGGAGTTGGGCTTGAAATAGGAGGGAGCGGACAGTATTATTTATGGTGCCAATGGTACGTTCAGCCCGTCCATTTTGCTGGCTAGTGTGTGGACAAGAGAAGCGAAAAAGAATGCCCAAGGATTCGAAGAAATTCCTTAGAGGAGCGTTTTTATATTCCTTATATTCGAAGAATAATTAATTTCTGTAATCAACAACGGAGGGCTAAGCCTCGTATAAATAGATACAGTAGAGTCCTAACTACGGAAGGTAACTATACAAGGAAACCTACCATGTGTACAAGGATTACTACATTAATATTAAATATAGACATACTATATTTAACAGTAACACCCAGCCTTTAAATATGTTGAAAATAACCCAACTTGTTTGAAACAGACCAATCCTACGGGTCTGCGGGTCCAAATGTTACATGACACAATATAATATAAACATGAGTATAACAATATTTAAAAGCTTAAAATGAAACAACGTACAACCGACTGAATGTCTGAATTTTGAAACAACGCCCAAAATTACTCACTGCCTCACTGCACGCTCCATCACTGGTATTATGGTAGTCCTAGACTCCTAGTGGTAGTGGCAGGGTAAGTAAGTAATCAAATCATCTTATAGTGTTAACACAAACGATCGACTCTCCAATCTCAAAATATAGTCACTGTCTCCTTAGTTAAAAATTCACCATGTATTAATTAGAGAGTAGATATAGTCAATCACGAAGTATATATTTGGGAATACAATTGAGAAAACTCGGGGCGAATAGGGGCTGTATTGGCGGGTTATACGGGGGTTAAGAGGGATACCCGAAAGAATAATATTTTGGGAGAAAATATTTTGCTTGTATTTCTGATATTCAGAATATGAACAAAGGCTATGTCTATATAGAATCTCACAGACTAGGAGCTCTATATGAAAACCAATATATACTGGGAAACTACCATATACATGATAACAATACATACAAAAATATTTTTCCTTTAACACCTCCTCTTAAGTTGGAGCATGTAAAAGCGAAATGCCCAACTTGGAAATAAGAAACTCAAAGCTAAGTGTGATTTTCCCAACGCCTTTGTATGTATATCTGCAAGCTGGTATGTAGTAGGAACATGATGTGTGTGAACCAGACCACGAATAAAATGACAGTCGATTTCAATACGCTTCATGCACTCGTGAAAAACTGGATTAACTGCAATATGAAGTGCAGTACATTATGCTATCACATTGGATAGTCATAAGATTATCGTGTAAGACCCAAAAAGAGCGCAAGAGACTCTTTAACCATTTCAACTAACAAGTAATAGCAGTAAGTGCTTGGTACTCGGCCTTAGCCGATAGGGATGTGCATCGGTCTAAACCCGGACCGACCCGGATCAGACCGGACCAGAATCGAATAAGAGCAAAGTAGTGGACCGTAGACCGGACCGAAAAAGTGTAAGACCGGACCGGGACCGGACTGAATAAAAATGGACCAGTCCAAATAAGGACCGAAATGGACCAGTCACTAGGGGAGAAACAAGGAACCTGATCAAACTTAAACGCACTCTTGAACTCTATCTCAAAGCTTCTGGTCAGGAGATCAACCTCTCTAAGAGCAAATTTTACTCCTCCAAGAACACAAACTCCACTCAGGCTCAGAACATGGAAAAAGCGTTAGGCATCAATAGAGGAACCCTACCCTTTATTTATCTTGGGGCAACAATCTGCCGTGGCATTTTAAGGAAGGAGCACTGCAAACAGATCATAAGCCACTTTGAAAAGCTCATCCACTCTTGGTACAGCAAAACCTTGAATCAAATGGGGAGGCTTATCCTTATTAAGCATGTCCTCTCCTCCATACCTTTACACATCATTGCAGTACAATCCCTCCCTAAATCCATCATCCATGTTCTCAACACTTATATGGCCAACTTCCTATGGGGACAGAGGCAAGGTAAACCAAAATACCATTGGAAGAGATGGGAACAAATCACAAAATCTGAAGCGGCAGGAGGCCTGGGAGTAAAGAACATTGAGGATTTACAACAAGCATACACACTCAAATTATGGTGGAAAGCGAATCATGACACGGGAATCTGGGGAACATTTGCTAGAGCAAAATACATGAAGCAAGGGATCATGAAAGAGAGGATTACAGACTCACCATCCTGGAAAAGAATCTGTAGGTCAAATGAATTAGCTTGTCAACACATCTCATACTCCAGTGGGAGTATGCTTTGGGAAGAAAAAACCTTCAGCCTCAAAAGAGCACTCAAGTCTGTTAGAGATGATGAGACTAACATGTTATCCAGCAAGTACATCTGGCATAAATCTAATATTCCCAAGATTCGGATCTTCTTATGGAAAGTTTTCAACAACATCCTTCCTTTTGCAGCCACCCTCAACAGATTTGCCAACACCTCTCCTAGCATCTGCTCCCTCTGTCGCCATAATACTGATTCCATGGACCACTCCCTCCTCCACTGCCTGATAGCCACCAAAGTTTGGAACCTCCTTGCCTCACTAACCAATGGCCCTAACGTCAAGGAACGTACCACCTTACGTCAACATATCCTTGCATGGTGGTTTAGTAGCAGTACCAAACACTTTAAAGGAAACCTTCGTCTCATTTTACCGGGTATTTGCAGCTGGTCATTATGGAAAGCTCGCAACTCCCATCTCCATAATGGGATCATTCCTACGGCAAAAGGCATTACTCAAGTATGCTTCAAGACCCTCCAAGCTTGGTGCTGGGTTAACAAGAACAAGAAATGGATGGTACAAGATGAAGACTTCAAGGGGTTGGGCCTAGAATCCTATTGGAGAAATGGTAGGAAGATTCTTCAGAAACCCCCTACTAGTTTCCCATGTTTTCTCTCTCACTTGTATGTTTATACTGTTGCCGTTGTGGCTCCCTGTATGCTTAGTACCTCTTTTCCTGATTAATAAAACTTCCTTCTTCTAATATATATATATATATATATATATATATATATATATATATATATATATATATATATATATATATATATATATATATATATATATATATATATATATATATATAGACACACACACACACATATATATATGATATAATCGGTCCACCGGTCTCACCGGGTTTGGACCGGACCGGACCAGAACCCGGATAAAGGAAATTGACGGACCAGAGACCGGACCAAATTAGGATCTGTCCGGTCCGGTTTTGGCTGGTCTTCGGGTCGGTCTGGGTTTGGACCGAATAATGCACAACCCTATTAGCCGATGAGCGAGCAACCGTCATTTGTTTCTTTGTCTCCAAAAAACAGGTGAACTCTCGAGTTGAACAAGCCACCCAGTTAAAAAAACGCCTTGTAAGAAGACATGCAGCCCGATCCGAATTGCACCACCCAGTAAGTTGTAAATTACTATTTGCATAGAGGAGAATACCACGACCTGGACACTCTTTAAAATTCTGAACAACTCCAAGGGTAGTAGTCTACTGACCCTCTTGCGGTTCCTTCAAAAACTGTGTCAAAGTATGCATAACATAAGAAAATTCTGGGCGTGTGATAGATAAATACACCAGACGGCAGACGCCCCACTAAGCATCGATAGGGTTCTGGATCATCAAAGAACTGGGGCTTGGTGACGAGCTAAATGATGATTGAGCTCCATTGGTGCGCCTACGGTTTGGCACCTAGCAGACCAGCTTCAATGATAATATCAAGAACACACTTTCGTTATTAAAAAAAGATCTCAGAAGCATTCCGAGCTACCTCAATACCAAAAAAGAATTTCTAAGTTTCCAAAGTCTTTCATATGAAAACAATTCGTCAAAAACTTTGTTTACCATGCAAACGACTCCGTATGTAATTTTCCACACCATTAACTAAACCTAACAAAAATGTTAACCACTAACGGCGGGTCGCGCATCTATCTCTGCCAAGCCATTCGGGCGTATCTCCCTTCGGCTCCGGGAGGTCGGGATTCAACTACGGCAAACCAACTCCTAGTCAGATCTTTCAACCCATCATCATACACCTCACAGAACTTCGCCGGCCAATTCTCCGGCTCCACGGTCGAATACCCAAGCCCGGGTGCCCTGTCCTTGGACTTGGGATTCAACGGCTGTGTCCAGTCGATGACGTATGCCGACACCCGCCGTCTGAACTTCGCCCGGAACTCCGGCCACGCCTGGAATTTGTAGTGGTTCACCACCATCTCCTTCGTCCCTACCCTTCTCGTCATGTACCCTGGCTTCAGTATGAAATGATGGATCACGTTCGTCAACGAATCGTCGATTGCTTCCAGAAGCACTATGGATTTGTGCCGGTTGATTCCCTCTTTCCTGCAATTGTACCCCTGGGTAACCCCCGATTCCGGATTCTGGTTTTGACCCGACGGCCCAAATTCGAAACAGGCAATGCTTATTTGCCCCACCGAATCTGTTGCGGCGGCAGGATCTGTTATTGGCGCAGCGATGAGTGATTGTAACAGTGATTTAGACGGCTTGGAGGCGGCGGCGGCCCATGCCAGAGAGTAGACGAACTCGTCGACGTCGGTGTACATGACCCACCGGCACGCGTCCTTTGCGTAGACGACGCTGTGTGAGAAGCCGGCTTCTTGCGTCTTCGGCCACAGCCAGAAGACGGTGGTTATGTCAAACCCTTTCCGGCGGAGAGAATCGACGGTGCTCTCCAGATTGTCGTCGCTGCCATTGTCGTACAGTATGAATTTGTCGACTCCGATTTCGGAATGGTAGAGAACCCATTCTTTCAGGAATTTGGCTACGTTGCGCACCATGGTGACGGCGCACAGTAGCGCCTTTCCGCCGTTCGAAGCTAACTTGCGCGTCAGGCTGTAATAGGCCACGGAAGGTACCAGAACCGAGTCGGGTCCGATAATTTCGAGCGTGACTTTGATTCGTTTCTCTCCGAAACGGGCGGCGGTTTCTTCGGGACATTTGCAGCGGAACACTTCTTGCATTGAGCTGGTCACGACGGTTTTGACGGCGTTTGCGGCTTCTTCTTCGGCGCCGGCGAAGAAAGCGCATCGGAATTCCGCCGGATCGCGGTTGACACCTTGGCGGTGGTTCACGCCCTTCACGAAAAGAACGACGTCGTCCTCCGACGTGAGCGAATCGTACGCCATGAAATTCCATCGCGGAATTTCCTTCGGGAGATCTGGCGGAAAATTCATCTCCGGATGTACAGGATTGAGGGAAGACGACCTCACCAGCACCGGCTTCTTGTACGGCATTCTCCGGCGAGCTCGAATCGGAAGCTCACACTTAAAGATCAACCAGTCCAGAAACGGCAAAACCCCTGCGGTAGAAGCCGGCGACGAAATTCCGCGGCCGAAGAGACAGACGTAAGGATCGTCAACATCAATTGACAGAGCATCGGAGTCAGGGAAGCCAATAACAAGCACCTCCCAGTCCGGAAAGAGAACGGTGACGTAATGAATCTCCGCCATCGCAGAGGGACCCACTCGCGCAGTGATCTGATGATGAGGAACGGCGTGACTCGCAGCGTGGGTTTCGGAGATGACATTGTTGACTGTAAAAGCGGAGCTTCTTGTGGTGGCGGCGGTAGAGTGAAGGGAGACGGCGGTGGATACGATGACGTCGGAATGAGTGGGAAAGAAGGCGGATGAGAATGGCGGAGAAACGGCGTCGGAGGTTACGTCATAGCTGTAGCGGTGGAGAAGGAAGAAGATGAATATGGGAGCGAAAAACGAAGAGAAAGAGTGTGCGTAGATTTGGGGCCATGGCCATTGGTGGGGGCTTTGGAACAAATCGAATGAAAATGGATGAATTGCATGGCCCATTGTCTATATTATTGTCATATGCTCCATCTCTTCCGCAACTTCTCTCATTTTTTATACTCCGTACTTCCTAAAAATATATTTTCTATTTTAACTTTTTTTTTGTCAAACTGTCATACATTTTAATTAAAATTATAAAAAAAATATTTAATTATAATATAAATACAATATAATTAGATTGATATTAAAATTTAGTTTTGATATACCAATTTTTTAGTCTTTGCTTTAAAAAAAATTTTATATTGTTTTTTTTGGGTCAAATAGTAATACTTTCTGACCACAAATTCTGAGAAAAATATATTTTATCATAATATAAATTCAATATAATTAGATTAATCTTAGAATATATTTTTAATGCATCAAATTTTTATAGCGTTTATTAATTTTGATTATATTTAATTTATGAACAAAGAGTGTCACTATTTGATTAAAAAAAGTCTAAACAGGAAATATTTTATTTTTTGGAACGAAAAGAGTATAATTTATTTATAAGAAATCACCTTAGATAAGAGTAAAATATAGAGAAAGTACTAAAATATGAATTTCATGTTTTATTTTCTTAATGAAATTCACACTGTGGTAATTTGGCACTCTATATGAGCATTTTACTATACTTTTTGGTAATGTACGTGATCATGATCGATAATGTAAATGCATATTAACTCTTATTTTGAGAATGATTATAGAACTCATACTTTGGTATACTTTCAATGTTTTACACGCGCCTACTTTATCCTTTTTCCATATATTTATTTAGATTATGTCTAATTTATGGTAAAAAAATCACTGTTTGATTAAAAAATTCAAAATATAAAAGGTTTTTAGAATCGGAAAGAGTAATAGTTATATAAAAGTTACATGCTATATTAACTAAGTAAAAAACATTATAAAAATATTTTACAAGATAAAACTAATAAAATTATGATTGTATTAATATTTGTATTAAATGTACTTTATTTAATTAATAGTTAAAGTTTTTCAAAGTAAACTAGACAAATACTACCCCCGTCTCAGAGTATTTGTCCACTTTCATTTTTACACACCATCCAAAACACTTTTTAAATCCATTTTATCTTGTAATTTGTATATTAAAAAATTATAGAAATTATATATTAATAATCTATATGTTAAGACAAATCAAATAAGATCACACATGACTATATTTAGGCGTACACATTGAGAGAATTTGATGAGTCAAAGTGCTTAGATGAACAGTTCCAAAAGTCAAAACCGGACGAATACTCCAGGACGAAGGAGTACAAAGTTAAAAAAAGATTAAATAATGTTGATTCCGCACATATGAGAGAAAATGAATATGAATAATATTTTTTCCTTTAAAAGATACTGTGAAGATTAATCAAGGACAGCCAAAAAAAGGAAGTTAATGTAAAAGAATACTCCGTAACCCATATTTACTCATTCGTATAGCCGAAAAAAGGAAGTCAAACTGGGAAATTAATTTTGGGATGGAGGAAGTATTATATTTACTCATTCGTATAGTTTTTTCAAAATGTTAAAGTTAAATGATAAAACTATTGTTAAATGAGAAAATAGACACGCCTCATCATAACACATAATAGAAACATCTTTGGGCAGGCTACTAAAACAGTCCAACTAATCTTAGGGAGTGGACCGAGTTGCTGCTACCTTCGCCGGATTGGGTTGTGGTGTTACGGGCTCACAACCTGCCGCGGTGCCATGCGGGACGATTAACGGAGGGAGGCGTCAAAGTACGAGAGTTCGGCGTGCACCGGCATGGCAAGAAGAATTTGACCTCACTTGAATTGTTCTTTGTATTTTATTATTATTATTATTATAATTGTATTTAGATTTTATTAGGTGAGCGGAACTATAAGCTCCTTCGAGGGTTTCTTTACGGTTCTTTACCTCGTCGCTTTTTCTTGAACCGTCAGGATAGACAACGTAGTTATTAGGTTGGGGTATCTCTACTATAAATAGAGATGTTAAACATTATCAATAAACAAGCAAAATTAAACCCCTAACTTCTCTTCTCCCCTGCCGTTTCTGGCCTTCCCTTCTCCTTTCCTTTACTGCCGTTTCTCTCTCTCTCTCTAACCTACTGTTCTTCCCCTTCCTCCCCACACGGTGGTGGTCACGCCGGAGCCAGGAGTCGCTCGAAGATCTCCGTTGTAGGTACTGTGTACCTATCACTGGTGCTTCATTGAGATCTCATGACGTCCAACGTGGTGAGCACGGATGTCTTTCGGGAATTCCAATCCCAAATTGACGGCCAGATTCAATCTCATACGGCTGCCATGCAGCAGATAAACCAAGCCATGCAGCAGCTTCAACGGGATTTGAAGACGTTGTTGACAGAGAAGCGGCTGTACGAAGGGCCTCATCTGCGGCGGGATACGCCTGATGGTTTTGTCGGGCCGGCTAATTCCATGACAAAGCTCAAGCTTGATATGCCCAAGTGCGACGGGACGGATCCTTTGGGTTGGCTATTCAAGGTACATGAATATTTCAGTTTTTATGCCGTTCCAGAGGAATCCCGCTTGTCGGCAGTCTGCTTGATGTTGGAGGGGCAGGCGTTGGACTGGTTTCGTTGGCGACAACGGAACAACTTGCTTTCATCGTGGACAGAGTTTGTTACATCTTTCAAGTTACGGTTTGATCCCTTGAATTATGTGGACTATTTCGGCTTACTATCTAAGGTTCGCCAAACAGGGACCGTACTTGAATATCAACAGGCTTTTGAGAAGATTTTGGTGAATGTGACGGGGGTCGAAGAATCCAATTTACAGTCTCTTTTTCATGCCGGGTTAAAGACGCATCTCCAACACGAATTGATGCTCCTCAAACCCTCGTCTTTATCGGAGTCATTTGCCCTCGCTCGGGAACTGGAGACCAAGCACGCCGCCTGGGCTACATCTCTCGGGTCACGTCCTCGGCCGACATTGGGGCCCTTCAACAAGACCCCTGCGCAGCCACTGCTGCCGTTACCGGGAGCGCAGCAGCCGGAGGATAAAACGGCCACCACCCCGCCGATTCAGCGGCTCACTTACGCCGAAAAAAAAGAACGTGACGCGAAAGGCCTTTGCTATAATTGTGATGAGAAATGGTCTAAGTGTCACCGGTGTGGCCGTTTCTTATTGTTGCTTGAGGATGATGAGGAGGATCTCTCGCCAGGGGCTGTGGATGAAACTTTACTTGTGGCCGACGTTTCAACTTTGAACAGTATGGCCGGTGTCACGGCACCCCGTTCGTTGCGTTTATCTGGAATGATTGCGGGTGGCGTCGTCGATGTCCTTATTGATAGCGGGAGCACCCACAATTTTGTCCACCCGCGGGTGGTGGAGCGCTTGCAATTGCCGGTCGACAAAGTGACCGCTTTTCGTGTTTATGTGGGAAATGGTGCTTCTCTTTTATGTGATGCACAGTGTAAAGATGTTGAATTACTCTTGCAGGGGGTTTCCTTCTCAGTTGATGTCTTTGTCCTTCCTATCCATGGGCCGGACGTGGTTTTGGGCGTTCAATGGTTACGGTTATTAGGGAAAGTCACGCACGATTATGCCAACTTGACTATGGATTTTTGTTGGAAAGGATCGCAGGTGACGTTACAAGGGGGAGCACCGGAGGTCAAACAGGTTTCCTTACACCGCTGCCAAATGTTGCACACGGACCGTTCTGTATCGGCTTGCTTTGAACTTTTTCTCGTCGAGGCATCTACGGAAGGGACGGCTGATCAAGAACCTTGGCCAGAGGGGCTGCCCGCGGACATCCTTAATGTCCTGCGGCGTTTTCTAGCGGCCTTTGAGGAGCCAGCAGGCCTGCCGCCACGCCGTTTGGGCGATCATCGGATATTCCTCCAACCCGGGTCCAAGCCAGTCTCAGTTCGTCCATATCGGTACCCTCAATTTCAAAAAGCCGAAATTGAGCGTCTCATTCGGGAAATGCTTGATCAAGGATTGATACAGCCGAGTAGAAGTCCTTTCTTGTCTCCTGTCCTACTGGTAAAAAAAAAAGACGGCACATACAGATTTTGTGTTGATTATCGGGCATTAAACGCGGTGACAGTACCTGACCATTTTCCTATTCCAACCGCGGACGAATTGTTTGATGAATTGGGCTCCGCCAGATTCTTTACGAAGCTTGATCTCCGCTCGGGGTATCATCAGATTCGCATGCATGATCGCGACATCTATAAAACGGCTTTTCGTACCCATGAGGGCCACTATGAGTTTCGGGCGATGCCATTTGGTCTCACAAATGCCCCCTCCACTTTCCAGGCGTGTATGAATCAGTTGTTCGCCCCGTTTTTACGGAAGTTTGTCATTGTTTTTTTTTGATGATATTTTGATATACAGTTCGTCGTTGGAGGATCATGGTCGCCACCTCGAGGTGGCCTTGGGGTTGCTTTGTTCGAACCACTTTTTTCTCAAGCCGTCCAAATGCTCATTTTGTACTTTGTCGATTGACTATTTGGGGCATGTTATTAGTGATGGGCATCTTCACGTGGATAGGGCAAAGATCGAAGCTATGTTGGACTGGCCGATTCCCAAAACCATCAAGCAGCTTCAGGGGTTTTTGGGTTTAACCGGCTATTACCGTCGGTTTATTCAAAATTATGCCCACATCTCTGCGCCACTGACTGATCTTTTGAAGAAAGATTCCTTTTATTGGTCTGATGCTGCGACACAAGCCTTTGAGTTCCTCAAGCAGGCCTTGGCAGCAGCTCCGGTGCTGCGATTACCGGATTTTTCCTTGTTATTTGTGGTCGACACCGATGCTTCGGCCTCCGGTATTGGCGTGGTCCTTCTCCAGGAAGAGCAGCCCGTCGCTTACTTTAGTAAGAAATTGGGTCCTCGGCGTTTGGCGGCATCCACGTATCATAAGGAACTTTACGCCATAGTTGAAGCCGTCCAAAAATGGAGACAGTATCTTTTGGGGCGTGAATTTTTGATTCGAACGGATCAGCGTAGTTTGAGGGAACTGTTGCAGCAAGTTATTCAAACCCCTGATCAACAGTTTTATATCCGCAAACTCATGGGGTATCGTTTTCGCATCGAATACAAACCGGGCCGAACTAACGTGGTGGCAGACGCGTTATCGCGGCAGCACCTGGAGCATGGTACTTCGTATGAGGTTTCAACAGTTGGGGCAGTTCAACTTTTTAATTTTTCACAGCCACTGCTAGAAATTCTCGCTCGCATTCGGGCAGAAAATGAAACAGAGCCGGATCTGGTGCGCTTGCATGAACTCCACCGGCAAGGATCCCTGCCAGCCCCCTTCTCGGTCATGGATGGTATTCTTTTTTATCAAACCCGGATGTGTGTGGGTGCGGCGTCCTCCCTACGTATGGAACTTTTACGGGAGTACCATGATTCGCCTATTGCTGGTCATACGGGTGTTCATCGTACCTTCACTCGCTTGGCCGCGACTTTTTATTGGCCTTCCATGTGCAAGGATGTTCGCTCTTATGTGGGCCGTTGCGAGGTATGTCAAAAGGCTAAGTCTTCCACATTGTCGCCGGCGGGTCTCCTTCAACCGCTTCCGGTGCCGCAGCGCGTTTGGGAGGACATAAGCATGGATTTTGTGACTGGACTTCCCGTATCCCGTGGGTTTTCTGTGACTTTGGTCGTTGTTGATAGATTAACAAAATATACTCATTTGGGTGCGTTACCGGCAGCTTACGATGCCCATCAGACGACCTTCTTATTTACGGACATCGTGGTGAAGTTGCATGGCATTCCTCGCACAATTGTCTCCGATCGGGATAAGGTTTTTATTAGCACCTTTTGGCGTGAATTGCATAATCTCAGCGGCACCACCTTAAAGCATAGTACTGCCTTTCATCCCCGAACGGATGGTCAGACGGAGGTTATGAATCGTACCTTAGAGCAGTATCTTCGGTCCTTCGCGCATGCGCGGCCGAAGCGTTGGACAGTCCTTTTGCCCTGGGCCGAGTATTCCATGAACACGAGTTATCACTCGGCGTTACGCATGACACCTTTTCAGGCACTTTATGGACGTCCACCTCCTGACTTGGTGCCTTATCGGCCGGGGTCCAGCCGCGCACCCGCCGTTGATGACATCCTCGCCGAGCGAGATACCCTCCTGCGGGAATTGCGTCGTAACCTTTTGCAAGCTCAACATCGGATGAAGCAGTTGGCCGATGCCAAACGCAGGGACCTAGAGTTTCGGGTTGGGGATTTGGTTTTGTTGCGTCTTCAACCTTATCGGCAACACTCGGTGGTGCGGCGTTCGTCCCAAAAGTTGGCTTTGAAATTTTATGGGCCCTATGAGATTTTGGAGAGAATCGGGCCGGTGGCTTATTGTCTAAAATTGCCGGACGGGGCACAAATTCATCCGGTCTTTCATGTTTCCGTTTTGCGTCCGTTTCGTGGTCCCATGCTATCCGTTAAGCCATTGCCTCTATCGGATATTTTTGTAGATGGTAGACCTTCTTCTACGGCAGTTTCCATCCATGCAGTGCGCACAGTGCTTCGGAATGGGTCACCTGAGGAACAATATTTAGTAAGTTGGAGTGATGGTACGCTTGATGACGCGACGTGGGAGCCCGCTTCGAGTATTCGCCAACACTTTCCGCAGCTTCACCTTGAGGACAAGGTGCTTCTTGAAGGGCGGGGGAGTGTTACGGGCTCACAACCTGCCGCGGTGCCATGCGGGACGATTAACGGAGGGAGGCGTCAAAGTACGAGAGTTCGGCGTGCACCGGCATGGCAAGAAGAATTTGACCTCACTTGAATTGTTCTTTGTATTTTATTATTATTATTATTATTATTATAATTGTATTTAGATTTTATTAGGTGAGCGGAACTATAAGCTCCTTCGAGGGTTTCTTTACGGTTCTTTACCTCGTCGCTTTTTCTTGAACCGTCAGAATAGACAACGTAGTTATTAGGTTGGGGTATCTCTACTATAAATAGAGATGTTAATCATTATCAATAAACAAGCATAATTAAACCCCTAACTTCTCTTCTCCCCTGCCGTTTCTGGCCTTCCCTTCTCCTTTCCTTTACTAGCGTCTCTCTCTCTCTAACCTACTGTTCTTCCCCTTCCTCCCCACACGGTGGTGGTCATGCGGAGCCAGGAGTCGCTCGAAGATCTCCGTTGTAGGTACTGTGTACCTATCATGTTGTTGCCGCCGGGGGTAAATTGTTGGTTGCCGCTTCTCAGAGGTTGAGGATGCGGAAAGAGGACTGTAAATTGTTGGTTGCCGCACACTAGATGACGTCGCCCCTCTAACCTACGTTTTCTTTTTTAAAAGTTTGACAGCAATGAGAATAAATTTTCAGAGCGCTGGCGTAGCTTATGTTTAGGGCACGGTCGCTTCCAATTCTGACAGCATATTAGTTAGCAAACTCCATTCGTATCATGTATATGCAATGGCAAGCAAGAATGAGGCATGAACAATAAACATAAAGAACACCAAAAATTATTCAATAGATAAATGTGAAAGAGGGGGTAAATTGTTGGGTTGCGCAGTGGAAGTGGTTTAAGAGGAGAAGATTGGATAGAAAACCTGAGAGAGACGAGAGTTCTAAGAGGAGAAGATTGGATAGTGGTGAATTTATGAAATCGATGTAAATTCAATAGAAAAGTTGGGAAAACTCTACATAGAATCTATGGATTTTCTAAATTCACTAACTTTTTAGAATTTAAAAAAAATCCAATACAACTGCCCAAATAAGCCCACGGAACCTTTTTAATTCAGCCCAAATAACTGCTGGCCCATGGAATTGACGTGTGAGATTGCTATTGGTGGATCGATCAGAAAACCCGTTCCGTTGACGTGGACGGTCGTCACGTCCTCCATTTCAATCGGAGAACCGTCCCTGCCGGGAAGTAGAGACGGATTACTGCGGCGGAAGGCGGTAGGAAGAGAGCGCCCGCTGGAAAATGGCAAAATCTTCATTGATTTCCATGGCGATTCTGTTAGCTTCCTTCGCGCCCTTTGTCTATTCCATCGAAGACAAATGCTCTGCTTGCACTGCCGTTGCCGTGAGTATCCATCACCATTGTTTCTGGATTCTTCCACTCGAAGCTCTACACTGTGATTATCCTTCATCTTGTTCTTATTGTTTCGGATTAGACAAGAAATTTCACTGAAAGTGGTCTATTTACAAAGGTCACTAGATTTTAATGTATGGATATGTGAGAAAAGATTGACTCCATCGTAGCATTTCAAATCATTTCTTTTTTTTTTTTGTTTTCCTGAATTGCAGGAGGAGTTGGAGCGTGGGTTGATGAATGTAAGGATCCCATAAAGCTTTTTCATCTTCTATGTTTTTGCTTATTGAGCTTAGAGCTTTAGTCCTTTATGCAGCATTGCATTATTTAGAACATACTTTCAATTACTTCCTTATATCAAAAGCCTTGTTTAATAAGTTCAGAGCCTTAATTTTGGTGTCCAAGTGTAGTAGTAGCACTTGTCGTTTTAGTGGGTTGTCTAGCACTTGAGCCGATTTTACACTCGAGTTATTAGATTATATATTTGAAGGAAGAACAGTTTGGTCTTTTCATTACAAGGGGGTCTTTACATTCCCCCATTAGACTGTACCGACTAAAAATATAGGCAGGGAGGATTTCTTTTATCTTGGTCTTTGAGTTAGTATTGCCTATGCGCCAGAAACCATGGGCTTGGATTGGGCATATTGCTTGACGTGATGAAACTGCTGTCCAACTTGAGCTAATTTAGTGCCTTTACAATTACTGTGCTGTGTGTGGCACAGGAGTGTTCATACAATGACTTGATTTCATCAAACAGGAGAAACCTAGAAATCATTTAGATATGAGACATCGCTTGGATTCTAAAGGTCAACGTGAAGGCAAGCTTATAGATTACAGGTATAGTGTCACATTACTTCAATTTTCTTGATTGTTATATTTTGATTCCGTACTCTTAATTCTACTAGTGGTACTTTTGTTATTCTTGTGGTGATTGTAACAACTTTATGGGTCCACGATTATATGGTAAATTTTCTTAACAACTTTAAGTTTTCTTAAATGAATGGAAAGGCCTGTCTGATTTAGGAAGTGTAAACTGTACCAAAGGTAGAAGGAAATGATGAGGCGATTCAATTAAATTTCCTTATTGATCTTCTAATCTTTTTAGTAGTAACACAAAAGAAAACTCACACGACAAACTTTTCGCAACAAAACATTTAATATCGAGTATCATTCAGGTAGGCTTAAATGCAACTGTGTTTTGTAATATACTGGTGCTTCTTTTAACACCTATTATTTGTCTTAATTAACATCGGGAGGGTCATATCCTAGTTACAGTATTTTTACTGACTTTATACTCTATAGAGTGCTCTAGTACTTGGGTTTCTAGAACTTATTATTTTGCCAAATCTACGTCAGCCTTAGTACCTTATCATATTAATGTAATTATTTTTCATGAAGCATATATCATTTTCAATATTATTAGTTAATTTGTATATGACCAATCCCAAGTGACTTACTTATCTGCAATTTTGTCAGGGTTAGTGACCTGAGAGTTGTCGAACTCTTGGATGAGCTTTGTGATAAGATGCAAGATTATACTCTTGAGAAGGTATTCTTCTTCTTTGAATGGGTTTCCTTTATGCCTTTTTACTAAGAGTGTGTTGCTGCTCAAAAAAAACATTGAAATGTCTGCTTGTCTTCATAAATGTTATTGCTGATCTCACCTGTCTGGCAGGTTGATTCAGGCACAAAGAGGTGGATCAAAGTGAAAGACTGGGATCAACTTAAAACTGGTAAGAGTCATTTCTTATGACCTTGTTCTCTCCCAATTTCGTTGTTCTGTTGAAATTTGAAAAACAGAATGCATATGACCTTGGTCAGTTTTGTTTATAGTATCATTACATTGTCATTAATGCAACCAAGAATATGATGAGTTTTGCGTCTGAGTCGTCACGTGGCATGTTGTGTTTGTCAGTTCAATCTAATATGTTAAAGAGAACTTCTTTATCTTTGACCCAAAAGATCCTATCGCTCTTTGTTTCTTTGCTTCACTGTACACAGAGTGCATGGAAATTTTTCTTAAAGCATTGGAACTGGGAACATAAATGGTACTTCCATAAAAGTGATAAAACTATGGTTTCAATTGCTTTGTAGTACACGTTTCTATGCTCCAAAGAAATGCTTTAAAAAACTTGAATTGAAGATGGATCATGTGGAAGACTGGAAGTGCTAATTTTTCCATGATATTGGAATTGTATGTCCATTAGTAAATCCAGCTCTTAGGAGGAGGTTCTTCTCACTATCAACTATCAAGTTCACTGGCACACGGCATCAGTTGAAAGTATCAAATTCATTTCCCTCCCTCTCCACAGTACTTCCTAAAAGGGGAAGAAATTTTGTGTCTTAGTGATCATTAAAAAAAAACAACACCTTTCAGTTGATATAGAAATACTAAGGGATAAAAAAGATTGATTCTTAGAAGGTAGGTATTCTCATATGAGTAACAAACTACTAAAACATTTGTCCATTTACTATCTGATCATTATATGATACAAGTGTACATCAGGGTGTTTAAATGCAAAAGTAATAAAATTTCTCATGTAGGACTTCCCAATATTAAATGGGTTGTTGCTGTTGTTGTGACTTCCTAATATTAAATGACACAACCATCTCATGTAACATTTCTAAGTAACCTGCTTGATGAAATAGGCAAATGCAAGCACGATTGAAACATTCGCGCACAATCTCATTCATGTCCAGTTTGAAAAGACACTCATTTCCTGTGATTTCATTTTTTCACAGGAATCACATCATATGTCTACTTTTAGGATCAGAATTACTGAAACATTTCAAAGACGTAAATTGGAAGGCCTCACATATCTATGCTATTCCTTGGGATTTGTTCACTTCAAGGCATTGGGCGAATTCCCAATACTCTATAGTGCTTTTTTCTAACAATACTCTGCCATTCAGTTTGGAATAATTCAATTCTGACCATTAATACCTTCCAAACTAGGCCTTAGAGGATTCTTATGCTCATAATGAAGCGATGATGTTTTGAAAGCTCATGGGAATGTGAATGTTTTGATAATACAACATGAATTGTCACAATGCCATCTAAAGATGTCATGGCGAACAGAGTTAGGATTATACTGGTTGTTTTTGTTGTTGTTGTTGTTGTTGTTGTGTTGTTGTTGTTCTTGTTCTTGTTGCTGTTGCTGCTTCTGTCAAGATGTTATGTAATCAAGTTTTCACATCTAATGTTTGCATCCACAGCGGATAGATTACAATGGGATCGGATATTCTTTTTATTTGCAAAATATTTTCTTGGAGTTCTTATAATATGGCACATACACTTTTCATTTATATTGACAGAGAAGGAAATGAATAGAGTTCAATATGTATAGCTAACTCTGTATTTTTCTTTGTTGATAGATAAGCAAGAAGCTCGAGCACATTCCAAAGCAATATCATCTTTCTGTGGGAGGTTAGTTTAGAAAAAATAAGTTACACTTCTCCAATTGGCTTCTAGTTTTGCCTCAATATTTAGAAGCTTAACTTAGCTCAACAATATGTCAGGTTGCTCGAGGAAACTGAAGATAAGGTAGTGAATGCTTGGAAATTTGCAGTTTCATTACTATTGCCATGGTACTGCTGTTTATTCAGTTGTTTTTTATACATAACAAATGCTTTTTCTTGAACAGTTGTCCGAATTGATTAAGAAAGGGTCAGTGAAAGTAGGAGGCGTTGCCAAGGTTTTATGTGAAGACCTCAGCAAACTTTGCATTGGGACAAGGTAATTACAAAAATTAGCTACAAACAATGCATAAAAAACTGCAATTGAGTTGTTTCATGATACATCTTGCGCCTGCTTCACAAATTGTGTTTCGATCAAGTAATTGAGATTATACGGAGTATTTCTTTACTCTATACGCAGCTAGCAAATCAAAGACCATTACTCCGTATGAATCATTAAACACACGCCGCAGTACCTTTTTACGCCTGGTTAGACTAAACAGAGTACGTATGGATCATTAAACACACGCCACAGCACCTTTTTACGCCTGGTTAGACTAAACAGAGTATTTGGACATGAATAGTTTACCAAAAGCTGGATTTTATGTCATGCATATAATTATGATAAGCATCATAAATAGTTTACCAAAACAGGTTTAGTTATTAAAGACCTACATAAGAACTATTTTCGACACTGCATAAATCGTAATGCAGATTGGACATGAACCACTTATATGATTATATCAACGATAACATGTTTCAGCACGAAGGCATCTAGTTTACTCCGTAATACTTCACTGTATGTCTCTCTTTTTTTTCAATGCATCTAATTTATGGTGTAATCATCAGATAATAATAAGTTTATAAGCAAAAATTAGAATCCAAGATTATAGCTCCACCAAATGTGATGACTCTATAGAGTTAGAATCTTCTCATGATCTGAGCTTCATTTGAGTAATACATTACAGAATCAAGACCACATATTTATGGGACGACAAGTCCGTACTTGATGCATACATATTGGATAATAATTTGTACAAGAGATATTTAAATGCTACCTGTATTGTTTACACTTTCGAGAACGTTTTAATTTGTTTCAGCAAGGATGAAGACGACGAGGATCACACCGAGCTCTGATTATAGTATGGAGATCAGATGGATCTGAAGATGAAACTATATACCATTTTTTCTCATTAATTAATGTGTACCAGCATTGAAGTTTGCAAACACTTATCATCCTCCTGATTTGTGTTTCCCAGTTATTTAACTACATAACCAACAATATATATTATTATACATGCTCTAGCTGTTAATTTTTGCAGCATAAAATCAAAGAATATTTATGTATAACACAACATCATCTTCGTTTGTGCTTAGATGATGATGATCATTTCTTAATATTATCTCAAGTTTATGCTAATTCAATTCACTGTTGATATATTGTGTGATTCATATCGTTTTAAATAAACTATAATTTCATAGTGTCTCATCAAATCTTATTATTGCAAAATATTGTTCAATTTGTTTTAATCTATTATCTTAAAATATATCAATTGCGGTTATATTTAATGTGGAAGTCATTTGCAACACAAACAAAATGTGAAATACTTAGTCATATACTCCCACAAATAAGACCTACTCCCTCTGTTTATCAAAACAATTATTCTTTTGTTTTTTTTGTTTTCAATAAAACACTTCTACTTTAATAAAAAATGACTAATGTATTCAAATAAAATTGTTGCAATATACTTCATTCAGTTTGCATTGATAAAATAATTTATTTAAATCGATTGCTTCTCGTTTTCCTTCGAATTCAATGATATAATTAGAAAGTCAAATTACGAAAATAAATCTGTTAGAAGTCAAAATAGGAATTGTTTTACCAAAGTACCAAACGGAGGAAGAATTAGTTTTTATTCTTAAAATTAATTTTTTTTCCAAAATAAGACTTAAATTAATTTTAATAGGGAGTAAAATATCCGTAACCCTAATTTATAGGGTTCTTTTCATCCTTCTTTTCATTCAGAATTTACAGTATATCGACCAGCAATTACACTTCATCATCATTGACAACTAATAAGATCGAAAGGGGAGAAACAAATCCTCTGTAGAAACCCACTGTTCATCATCATCTTCTTCTTCCTCACAGCCCAACAAAGGGTTCCTCTTCCCATCTTCAAAACCCAATTCCATCGGAGCCAAACACGCCGCAACATCTTTGTTATCCCGGACGAACGGGTGCTTGAGCAGCTTCCGCGCCGTCCACCTCTCCTCTCCCCACGGCTCTCTTTTCAAGAAACACTTGCTCAGGAAATCCCTCGCCGTCGCCGGAACTTCCTCCGGGATTTCCGGCTTCTCGTACAGAATCTGGTCTATCAGGTCGTTGGAGTCCTTGCACAGCCACGCCGGCTCTCCGGTGAGCATCTCCAGTACTATGCAACCCAATGCCCATATGTCGTCGCCGGTGTTGTGTTTTCCGGTGGCCAGATACTCCGGCGACGCGTAAAACAAGCTCCCCCGGCAGTGATGCGGGCAAAACGGTTCTTCTTCGTCGTCGTCGTCCTCCTCTTCTTCTTCATCGTCGTCGTAGTACGTTACGTCCTTCTTTCCGGCCAATGTGGAAACCCCGAAGTCGGCGAGTTTGAGGCGGAACAGTCTCCCGCCGTCCGCCGCCGGAAAAGCAAGAATGTTTTCCGGCTTCAGGTCGTTGTGGACGAACCCTTTTTCGTGGACGTGGGAAAGTCCCATGAGGATTTGGTACGCGTAGAAAGACACGTCGGATTTGTGGATGAGGGTTGTCCCGTCGTACCCGGGGCGAATCAGGCTGCCGAGGCTCACTCGAGGAGGAGGTTGAAGTCTCTCCACCCGCCGTCGTGGGGATCTTCTCCGGCGGCGCTGATGTCTTCCCCGAAGCAGTGGGTGACGTAAGGGGAGCCCCTGAGCTGTCTCAATATTCGAGCTTCACGGAGGAGGTTCTCGGCGGAGTTGAGATCCACGGATTTGACGGCGATCGGGGAGGAGTCGTCGCCGGCGGCGACCGGCAAAGCGAGGTAAACTCCTGCATGTATTCCCCTTCCGATAGCGCCGCATTGTTTTGTCCAAGAATGTTTCATGGCTCTCTCTAATGACTACTAGTAAATTACACTCTAATAATAATAATAATAATAATATGTATATAGAGGGGGTCTTATATATAGGCACGGACTATACCTAGTTGTGGGAGGATTAGGAAACTTATTGAATTATTGTGGGGGATTAATATATATAAATGGATAAAAAATCAATTAGTAGAACAAGAAAGTTGCCAAATACAATAATAATTCAAAAAAAAAAACACTACTCCCTCCCATTGTTCTTTTCTCAGTAAATAAAATGTTTTATAGATAAATTTTGTTAAAAATATTATACATTTTCAGTCAATGATTTGTTCAGTTAAATATTTGTTAAAAATATTAAAAACACTACGTACTTCTGGTTTTAAATATTTGTTCAGTTTTGATTTTTCAGTCAAAATTTATACATTTGATCATTAATTAAATAATATTAATACTAAAGATTGATTTAAAATAATTTTTGAAGTATATATTGAATAAAACTTTTTTGGGAAGGAGAGGTAAGTGTATCCTTGGGCAAGGATTAGGAAACAAATACTACTATTCGTGCACTATAATCCTTTTTTATTTCACCAATAGATTTTAGAAATTTCCAGCTAAGGTTCGGATTTAATTCGATGTTTTGTATCATTATCTTTCATTAATTTATTTTTAAAAATGAGTAAGGAGTTTATGATTAACAACAGAAGTGCCGCTAGTTACATCCATACGTATAAATTTTTCATTAGATTTTTTTGGTCAATTTTATAAATTTTAGTTTGACCATAATTTATTGAAAGAATAATATATTAAGGTATAATATATAATTAATTAATTTAATATCATTGGATAAATTTTGAAAAATAATTTATCTATATTATTTGTATTATCATTGGATAATACAATATTATCTTTATTTAATTATCTATAAATATAGATATCAATAATCAATGTACCTGAAGAATGAAAAAAATTAAGTAATTGGAAAAAACTTTTCATGACATTAAAATTTAAGTTGTGCTCCTTCATTCTTATAAATCAAAACTAACTAATATTACTGTGTAAAAATAAATGTAAAAAGGGACGGAGTGCAGTAAAAACAATTTTACCCCCACCATTCCCTAGGAACATGCGGAGTATAAATAGATGACTTGGCTAACAAGTAACAAGTCAGTATATTGTTGAATTGGGGGGAGAGTCATTAAGAAAGAGATAATTAAATCCTAATTGTCCTATATATCTCTAATCCTTTCTTTTCTGATCAATAAATATTAGGAAATTTTTACACTTTTTTAAATTACAGAAATTCCCTTACTTGGGAGCCAAGGACCGAATTTTTTTTGAGACGCTGTTTTTATGTTTTATCTTTAATTTTTTAAATAATATTTTGTATAAAGAACATAAAATAGATCGGTTTAATTATGATAAAAAAAATTATTTGGTTTTTTCCAAAGCTCCGAGTTAAACAAACCATTGTACTCCTTGTTTGTAAATTCATTACAGCATCCACACCCCATAAATTAAAATTCATTTATTCAATCATTCTTCTTCATCCATACTCCCTCCGTACTAAAAAAAAAGACCTCCTATTTTAAATTTTAAAATTTGAATTTTAGTTTTTAATTTTAAATTTTAAATTTTAAATTTAAAAAAGGGGTATGGGGGGGACGAAGGTTTGGGGGGTTAGAGATTGCGTGTGGGGGGATGGAGCGGAAAGATAATAAAAATTTTCTTTCGATTTTAAACGTAAATTGTTTTCTCCATTGAAGAAAAAATATTTTTCCTGGAAATTCTTCTTTTTCTCCTAATGTCACCAAACACAGGAAAATAAAATCAAAATTTTTCTGATAAATAATTTCGCTCTAACCAAACACACCATAAGAGAACTTTTTTTGTTAGCTGGCATATTAATGGGCTTTGATTATTTATTACAAATAAGCTTCATGGGCTAGCGATTACTCCCTCCGTCCGGATTTTAAGTTCCCATTTTGACTTTTGGTCATTTTTATGGGAAGTTGACTTTGCCTATAATTTGTCCAAAATACCCCTAGGCTTTTCATTTACTGCACACCCCTGAAGCCAAATCCTTCACAACAACTGGTCTAGGGCTGCCGCAGCTACTGATCGATGGCCGCACCAAACAAATCCCAAGCGACGGAACTCTGCCACACCAAATCGACGGATCTCTCTCTTTCTCTACTGAGCAAACTAGACCCAAGGTGAATCTCTTGCCGCACAAATGGATCTCCAAATTTTCTAGATCTGAAAAAACATAAACGAGATCCAAACTCTGATAGAAGAAGAAAATGACAAAAATAAGAAAAATAAGGGGTGAAGAGAGGGGGGAGATGAAGGCTAGATCTAAGTAAAAAAAGAAGAAGAAGAAGAAGAAGAAGAAGGAAAAGGGGGAGGAAGTTAACGTGGAGAAGAAAAGGAAGGGGGAGGAGAAGAGATATAGAAAGAATACCTGGTGTGGTGGAGAAGACACTGCCGAGAAAAAGGAAAAGGAAAACGAGAAAGGGGGAAGGAAGATAAGGGGTATTTTAGGAAGATTGGGTATCAAAACGTATAATGGGAACTTTAATTCCGGACGGAGAAAAGCGTAGAATGAGAACTTTAATTCCGGACGGAGGGAGTATTTAATAGTGAAATAATGGGGGGTTGGGTCGAGATGTGAATTTAAACACTCCAATACTTGGCTATCAAGAAACAAGGGAGTTGTGTGGTTTATTCGCTACTTTGAGTCTTTGACTAAAGTTTCAATTTTTCAAATTTGTAACAATAAATAAAAAAACAGCATAAATATACGGATTAGCTATTTAGATTGTGTTTCAACTATTCTTTTTTGTAATATCAATATACTAAGATGCACAAAATAAATATAGACTTTAGTACTACGAAAGAATTCGCCTTTCACTTAAATGAAGGTGGACTTACAAAAATTTACGACACCTTTTATATTTCCATCTCCCGAAAATTCATATGTAATGAAACATCAACCAATTTAATTTCAGACGTTTTTTCCTTCCTTTGTTTTATTAATTTACCTAAATAAATTTCTCAATTTCTTTTAAGCAAAGACAATTTAATTCACATCAGTTCCTTGTCTTTTTCCCGGGTGTAAAAAGAAGAGGAAAACATTAACAAAGGGCGTATAGAGTATATTTTTAAAGAAACATTAAACGAACGACACTCGCTCATTTGGAACTTTTTCTAATGCTTCATTCACAAGATTGATGATTTCTACCCTACTCCCTACTGTATCCTCACAAAATTGAAATATAAGATTTCAACTAATTCCTAGTTATCAACATGACCTCACTATATTTACATTCTTTCAATTTTTCAATAATTTTTTTAAATATCGTGAAGTCAAACCATTACATTTATTTAGAAATAAAAAGTATGGAATATTTTGCATTATTATTTGGAAAATTCTATTTGTATCCCATATTTGTACTCCAAGTGCCTTTGCTCTGACATTAAATGTAAGTATAAAACTAGACATTTTATGTCAGGGTAAAGTTTTGGAGTACAAAATGAGGTATAAATTGGAACGAGGGTAGCACGCTCCTTATTATTTTTTTCAATTTGGATTTTGGATACAATTTTTGCAAACTTGGTTAAAATAGTTGGCAAGCTAGCAAGTGAATCATATGCTAGTATAAAAACAAAATAAAAAGGGTGACACTTCAATTGTTACCTACTCCTTACGTACGGTATAATACAATCCAAAAAAAATACGAAATTCATTTCCCCGCAACCGACGGCGGCAGCTTCCTCATGAGTATTCGCCCTGCTTTTCACGGCGGCGCCGGATCGTCGAATTCACCGCCTTCTACTCCTCCGCCCAGCGCCGCCCCGCCGCGAATCGGAGACTTCGATCCGGACTTCGTCGTCATCCTCGCCGCTCTTCTCTGCGCAGTAATTTGCGCCCTCGCCTTAGCCGCCCTCGCTCACTGCGCCTGGATCCGCCGGATCTCTGGCCGAGACGCCGCCGCATCGCCGCCGCATGCCAACAAGGGACTGAAGAAGAAGATCCTCAAGTCGCTCCCCAAGGTCCGCTTCTCGCCGGAGCTCGCCGCCGAATTCTCCGAGTGCGCCATTTGCCTGGCGGATTTCGCCGCCGGAGACGAGCTCCGGGTGCTCCCGCAGTGCGGTCACGGGTTCCACGCCGGATGTGTCGACACCTGGCTCGGATCTCACTCTTCGTGTCCGTCTTGCCGACAGCTCCTGGTGCCGCCCCGGTGCCAGAAGGGCGGCGAATCGCCGGCGGCGACATGTTCGCCTGTCGATTACTTAGCCGACACCAGATTTGCTCCCAATAGTGTTTATCACGTAAATCCCTTTTTACCTTAATTTACCTTATTCAGTTTACTGCCTTTGCTTTGTACTTTTAGACCGTCAAATAAGAAATTGCACATAACTCACTTTCTTTGGATTAAGAGCCACTTTGACCAGATACGAAAATAACAAAAAAAATGACGAATAAACAAATAAAGTAGTCTAAAATAATTTTTACCATCCGTTTCTTTAAACCCTTCCATTTTTAACTTTTGGCAAAAATACTCCAAAAGTAAGAAAAATATGATTTTGGTCGACTTTCCAATTTTGCCTCTGATGTGCTGGGTAAAAGTAAGATGTGATAGTTTGGTTATTAGTGAAAAAGTATGATGTAATAGGTAGGGTATGAAAAATTAAGGGTAAAAGTGGTTTTTTAATAGAAAGTTGAAGTATTTTAGAGAATTCAAAAAAACGAAAGGGGAAAGGCTTTGTGGAACGGAGGGAGTAAAAGAGAATTTAAATCACAAATGATAAGTTTGTAAAGTTTGTGACTATTTTGGGCCTATTTGGGAATATCTTTAGAAATTAGCGTTAGTGTTTTGGATAAATTTTTAACGATGCAAATTACTTTGAAAACGCTAACGCTAAACGCTGTCCGTAGATGTGAACCTATAGCGTTAGTCTTTTTCAAAACGCTAACACTAATCGCTAAAACTATTCCCAAAGAAGCCCTTTATATGTGAACCTATATTGCTCTGGTTGGAAAGTGAAAAATGTATGGATAAAAATTGCCTAGAAAAGAAAAAAGATACGGAGTATTTTAAATCACATATCACTATCATACGGAGTATTTTTTAAACAAATCTCCTAAGATTGCAGTAAAAACTATAAAAAATCAAAATAGGAGTTTTAAATCTTTTAAATAGGAGTAGTACTATAGTGGCCGCCGCCCCTATACTCCACACCCTCCACATCTTTATCTCTCAGGGCATGTTTGGTGAGTACAAAAGATATGAGTTTTCATATCTTTTGATATCATATTTATTTTTTGGTGTTTAGTGAATCTTTTAAATAAATAGTTTTGATATCTTCTAAGTTTGGGAGTCATCAGTGTAGGGATTTGATATCTCCATCAAACATCCCATCGTCCGCCTACCATTGAAATCGCCAACCACCCATATTCCTGGCAACTCCCGTCAATCACTACTTAATTTGTGATTTTAAATCTCTCCAAATAATTTCATTTCAGATTTCAAATTTTTTCATATTTCAAAATCAAATCATATCATATTTGAAAAACTCAACAAACAGGCTCTCAGTTATCCCTTCCTTCACGTAGCGCCATGTAGGAATGACAATTCTTACCCGACTCGATGGATAATTGATTCACTAGATTGATCCGTTCTCGTGGGAAAACCCCAAATAGAAAAGGATGAAGGATGGACTAATGATTGATCGGGTCGGATGCGGCTTGAGATGTTTCACACCCGTTATCCGATCAATCACCCGACACATTCATATTTACTTTAAAAAAATTGAAACTGAAATATTACCTTTGTTGAGTACATAAGTTTTTTCTAGTTTCGAATATATTCCATTTTATCAAAACCTAGTTTGTAACTTAAAAAATTAATTTTTTGCAGGATTTTATCGCAATAAACATCGTTAACCTCTTATTTTTCTAAGATTTTTCGTTGTTACATGCTTTAAAAATTTTCTTTTCATGAGATTAATGATTAAAAAACTACTCTATTACTTAATTATATCACTTGTTTTCACTCGCTTAACTTGTGAGTGATAGATAGATCGAGTGATGGGTAATTATGTAACGGATGATAGATGGTTGAGATGATGAATATGAAGTCGATAGATGGATGAGGGAGAAGCTTCACTCGCCTAAAACCCGACCTGTTGCCATCTCTTGCGCCATGTCCCACCCCTATACCTAGGTCTAGACCAAACCCGGACCCTAGAAAATTTAGGTGTTTGGGTTTCGGTCCGATCCGGTTCAAACCTGAAAATGATTTAGGTTCGTACCGATTAGACCAAATGATCCTAATAATCCTACTGGACCTTAAAGATCAAATACTAAAACTCTACTTTTTAAGTTGTGTATTAAATTTTGATGCTCTATTTTAATAGAAATCTTAATTTATTTAATTAAAAATGTTTTTTTATTAAGTACTTTTTAAAAGAAAAGTTTGAAAAAAATGTTTTACATTAGTTTTAATGATTCTACATAGAAGTAGTTCATATTGTGTATCTATTTTTAGGTTACCTATTTTTTTCTATTTGCACAGCACAAAGTAAAAGCCTCAAATATATTTAATCGATCAAAATAATTAAAAAATATGTACTCCCTCCGTTTAGAAAAACCCTTCCCATTTGATTTGGGGGCAAAAATAAGGAAGTGTTAAATTATAGTTGATTTCCAATTTTGCCCCTGATGTGATGGGTAAAAGTAAGATGTGATGGATAGGTTATTAGAGAAAAAGTATGATGTGATAGGTATGGTATGAAAAAGTAAGGGTAAAAGTGATTTTTTAATAGAAAGGGGAAGTGTTTTGTTGGAAGTGGAAAAAATGAAAGAGGAAGTGTTTTTGAGAACGGATGGAGTATTTTTATTCGGTCCGGATCGGTTCGGTGTTAAATATTTTGGTCCGGTACGATTCAAACCCAAATAGATTTTGGTCTGAACTTTGATCCGTGATTTTATTCAATTCAGTCTTCGATCTGATTGGGTTTGATCCAATGTTGGACTAATGAAGAGCCCTACTTGCATGCATGTTGGCAATTCAAATTGCTTCTTGGTGTTGTGTTTTTGACATCACTTGATTAGCTTTTGGATGTTGACATTGTAAATCATATTTTGGCATTTGACATTAATTTTGATTTTATGCAGTGTGGCGTATATATATAGTTGGGACTTGGGGTTTGGTACTATACTACTATGGGAACACAATGTGATTTTTTTGGCATATATTTTAAGGGTTTTATATATTTAGCATTGTATTGATAGTTTTTGTGGCTTTGTTTGGCACTTCAACAAGAACTATAATACGGAGTAGAATGTGGCGGCAAATCGATTTAAAGGACTTATTTTGGCGATAATACATAATCTAGCTATTTGAAATATGTGCACTAAATAGTACTCCCTCCGTCCTAAAATTAACTTTCCAGTTTGACTTTTGTAGTCAAACTTTTTAAACTTTGACCGTATATTACGGAAAAAATTCATTGAATTTTCACATAAATTTATTAGCAATAGATTCATTTTGAAACATTGTTTTGAAATATATAATTTTTATAAAATATATTTATATAAAAATTGAGATACTGATGGTCAAAGTGTCGCATTGGAGACCGTGAAAAGTCAAATGAGAAGTTAATTTTAGGACGGAGGGAGTATTAAAAAACTTAAGTCATATTCTTAAATAGTACTTAAATTATTTTATTCTCTAAATAACACTTAACAATATCTAAAAGAGAAATAATGTCCAGTGATTGTGAATATTTACTTGAATAATGCCTAATGGATAATGATTAAAACTGTTACATTGGGAAAAAATACATATGATGCTATTTAGAGAAAATCATTATATTTTAGTGCTATTGAAGTAAATTTCTTTTTGTTTTGCCCACAAAAAAGTTAATACAAATAAACTAATTCCGCCATTTTTTTCATCTGAAGTTTCTTTTCAACGTATTAGAAAAGAGAAATTTACCTAAATAGAACTAAAACATAATGACTTTCCCAATATAGAGCCATATGTTTTTATTTCCCAATGTAGGATCTTTGGTCATTATCAAGTAGTCATTATTCAACTAAATGTCTATCATTACTGGACATTATTCCTTCCATTAGGTCATTATTAAGTCCTATTTAGGGAATAAAAAAATTTAAGTCCTACATTAGGAAAGTCATTATGTTTTAGTCCTATTTACTACAAATTTCACATTAGGAAACACATTTACTGCTTCCGTCTCTTTTATACTCGTATGTTTCTAATTTGACTTTTAAGATCAATTTTTTAAATAAACTTTGACAACAAATTACAAAATAAATATATTGAATTGTGATATAAATTTAATATCAATAAATTTATTTTGAAACATACGGAGTATATAATTTTTAAATATTATGCTTTTATAATATTCCTTCGTCCCAAAAATTTCATCCTTTTTTTTATTTGTCTCACAAGATCATTCTCATTTCTATTAAAAAATCATTTATACTCATACTAATTTTTAACTTACCTATCACATTATACATTTTTACTAATAATCTACATATCACATCTTACTTTTACCTATCACATCAAAATTATTTTTGTAAAATTAATACTCCCTCCGTCCTAATTCTTTCTTCCCAGTTTGACTTTTTCTCATTTTTAATTTTTGGCTTTGACTTCAAATTTTACCCTCCTTAAAAAAGATTTTTTGAATTTTTTTTTGCAATCATTCAAAATATAGAGTTAGAAGATAATTGGTGTAAATACATGAGGGTATAAATGTCATTTGTCATCTTGTTTTTCTAATGGAAAGGTAGTTTTAGGAAAAAAGAAAAATTGGAAGAAAGTTTTAGGAGAGAGGGAGTACAAAACATCTCTCTCTTTAATTTCCTAAAAGTTAAAATAGAAACATCTTTTTAGAATAGAAGTAATATACTATATCTATAAATAAATAAAGACAATAATGATTAAAGTATTGCATGATATTCAAAAGGGACAAAAGAAGTAACCACTGAACTATGTAAGTAATTAATTTAGGACAAAGTATGATGTTTGTGAGTGAGAAAGTATACATTGCATAGAGCATAGAAATATATGTTTATGGTGATGATGAACATCTAATTAGTGAGCATGATATTTGGGTTTCTCAATGGTTTGAGCCACACATGATGACCCCTACCTTCATCAGCTGCTGCAATTGATGATGATCTACCTAATGAGGATATACTCCACATCACATTTTTATTACTAGCACTATCATCCTTTTTTGCATGAGGAAATATCAATCCTCCACCCCAACCCCCTTTTGAGTTCCTCCCATTATTATTATTATTATTATTTACAAGTCCATTCCCCATCAACCATTCCATTGCACTTCTCATCCTCTCCTTCTCCCTACCTATATTATTGTCCCAACAACTCCCATTATTATTATTATTTTTGTTTCCCTTTCCTCCTCCTCCACCTCCTCCACCACCGCTGCTGCTACCACCACCACTCCCTTTCATGAGTATGCCCGCTACGTGCAACTCTCCTACTTCCAACCACCCCATCTCTCCACCGCCACCGCCACCACCACCACCACCAGAGTTGCTAACAGCATGGATTAGTACGAGCATTGGACCACCGACCACCTCGTAGTGCCTCAGTGGGTCCCGCAGCTGGACGACAAAACATATGTCCATGTTCTCGCCCTCATTGTTCCCTCTCGTTAGCCACTCTTGGAACGAGACCGCACGTTCGAAAAGAGTGGCGACTCCGTTGTCATGTGCTGATGAAACATCAAAGCGCGGCGGCGGTAGGGCTTCTTCTCGATCTACTTCATCTTCGTCGATGCCGGCTTGGATTTTCAAGGCTTCGACGGTCACCTCTTCGAGTTTCCGCACTGATAAGCCTAAAACGTCTTCTAACGCCGTCGTGCACCTCTCCTGGCTCTTGTCTCCCCTGTTCATCGCATTTGCCATTGATTTGACCACAGCTAACGTGCGCATCTATCACATTATTGAAACATAGCATGAACTTTTAATCATCCCAAAATTTTCTTATTAGTTTGACTTTTTAATTATGTCAAATATTTAAAATTTGAACATAAATTAACAAAAAATATATATTGAATCAACATATTTCTTCCCTCATAAAAAGATGTTCTCATTTTGACTTTTAAGAAGTTTAAGGGAGAGATTTTTTGTATTGACTTTCCAAAAATGCCCTTAATGTGATGGATAAAAATATGATCTGATGTGTAGATTATTAGTAAAAAAGTATGATGTGATAGGTATGTTAAGAATTAAGAAGGATAAATGTGAGTTTTTAATATAAATGAAAAAGATTTTGTGGGACAAGGTAAAAAAACAAATGGGAATGAGTTTTTGGAACGGAGGGAGTCTAAATTTAATATCTATAAATTCAATGAAATACTAAATTTTTTAATAATAAATATCTATATACTCTCTCGGCCCCGTACATCTTCCCATTAGTCCTTTTTATTTGTCTTCCAAAGATCTTCTCATTACCTTTTTTAATACCATATCTATCCCAACTTTATTTATTTATTACACTTCACCACCTCATTCAATAAATTAAACTCTACTCATTTTCATTAATACTCCCTCCGTTTGGAAAAACCATTCTCATTTGATTTGGGGGCAAAAATAAGGAAATATTAAATTGTAGTTGATTTCCAATTTTGCCCCTGATGTGATGGGTAAAAGTAAGATGTGATGGATAGATTATTAGAGAAAAAGTATGATGTGATAGGTAGGGTATGAAAAAGTAAGGGTAAAAATGGTTTTTTAATAGAAAGGGGAAGTGTTTTGTTGGAAGTGGAAAAAATGAAAGAGGAAGTGTTTTTGAGAACGGAGGGAGTAGTATTTTGGTAAACTTTCAGTTTTTTCAACTCTCATTAAAATTACAAAAAGTCAAAAATGAGAAGATCTTAGTGGATGTGTGTCTATGCTTATAAGCTGGTCAAAACTATTTATAAGCATTTTTAATTTATAAGTCAGCTGATGACATGTTTTTGTGTGCTTATAAGTTAGAAAAAATAAATAGGTCTAATCCACTTATTTTTAGTTTAATTTTTTCGAAAAATATATGGAGGGAAGGAGTAGTGTACTTACAAAAGAGCTTGAGGAGGTGGGACTGCGGCGGCGGGTCTCGGCCATGGAGGAGGGGTTTCTTATTGTTCCTTGTTGGTGAAGGATTTGAGAGGCAATGCCTTCAAAGGCAATCTGCTCTGCACTCTTTCCCTTCAGCTCTTCAATGGGCATCAAAGTGGAAAGGAGAGAGGTCATCCCTTCCACTCCCAAACCCGCCGCCGTCCTCTGTAACGCCTCCATAATATTATTATTAATCCCCCCCGCCTTCCCATTATTATTCATTGGTGCGCCGTCGTCTGATTGCAGATGATGAATATTAAGAACCAATGGTTTTGACATCTGCATGGCCAGTCTCGGGCCTTCCCTTTTTGCCCCTACTACTGCAACATTATTTCCTACCTGCTTATAATGCTGGGGAAATTTAAGAAAATATCTGGGTATGAGTACACAAGAAGAAAATTACTCTTTTAATTAAGAAATATTTGCACTAAATAGCACTAAAATTTAAGTCATTTTCAAAACAGCATTTAAACTATTTTATTCCTTAAATAACACTTAATAATGTCCAGTGATGACGAACATTTACTTGAATAATGACTAAAAGTGCTACATTGGAAAAAAATACATGTGATACTCCCTCCGTTTGCAAAAAGACTTCCTTTTTTGACTTGGAGCAAAAATAAGGAAGTGTTAAATTATACTCCCTCCCTCTCAGAAAACTTTTCTCCTTTCTTTTATCATCCGTCCCAAAAAACACTTCTCATTTCTATTAAAAAGTCACTTTTACCCCTTACTTTTTCATACCTTACCTATCACATCATACTTTTTTACTAATAATCTATCTATCAAATCATACTTTTACCCATCACATCAAAGGACATTTTTGGAAATTCAATACCAAAATACACTCCCCTTAAATCCCTCTTCAAAATCAAAACTTCCATGTTTTCCGGGACGGAGGGAGTAGTTGACTTCTAATTTTGCCCCTGATATGATGGGTAAAAGTAAGATGTGAGGGATAGATTATTAGAGAAAAAGTATGATGTGATAGGTAGGGTATGAAAAAGTAAGACTAAAAGTGGTTTTTTAATAGAAAGTGGAAGTGTTTTGTTGGAAGTGGAAAAAATGAAAGAGGAAGTGTTTTTGAGAACGGAAGGAGTACTGTTTAGGAAAAGTAATTATGTTTTAGTTCTATTTACTTAAATTTTTCTTTAATTAATAAACACATGCAGAGATTAAAAAAGGAGTGCATTTCATGAAATAATGAAGAAATATATTCCCTCCCTTCTCAATTTGATTACAATTTTTTTCTCTCTCTCCTCTCGATAACTTTTGTTTTTTTACGCAATTTTATTAAGTATTCGATAACATAAAAATTCTTGTCACCTCTTGTTTTGTAGAATTTTTAGCGTAATTTTTTTAAATGTAATTTTTATTTTCTTATCAATATATACCGATTTGTAAATAAAATGATCTAAAGAAGTGAGATATTTCTCCTCGTATACTCTAATTTGTAATCAAGTTAGGGACGATAGGAGTAAAAGGTAAATACATACCCTAAGAGGATTGATGGAAGCAAGGAAACCTTCATTCCTTGTTAGAACAACGCATCCCAGTCCATCCCCAAGTTCTGCTAATAACCAATTATTTCTCTTTTCTTCTTCTTCTTCTTCTGAATCCTCCTTCTCATCATCATCATCATCATGAAGCTTTTCAATAAACTCCCTTGTGATCATTTCTTCTTCTTCTTCTTCTTCTTCTCCTTGTTTATCCCGCCAGTAGTTGCCTTTGTCCCCCAACAAGATGGACTCCAGTTCTTTGATTTGTTGGGCAATGGAATCAAGCACAGCCATACGAAACCTCAACTTATTCCCATCACCATAACGACGACGATGATGATGCATAACTTCCTTGACCACAACCTCGTTCGAAACCGCGTCGTCCCTCTTCCTGCAAACCTCCTCCACCTCCACGCCCTTGTCCACCACCTCGTACTCCACCCCCGGCGGCATGTCTTCCGTTATTCTCCTTGTCTTTGAATCCCGCATCGTCGTCGTCTGGACACTGAACGATGTTTTCGACTGTCTCCGTGCGAACGAACACGAGCGTTCTCCCTTCTTGATTGCTACGGCGTTTTGTCGTCCACGAATGTACGTCCCGATGCCATCTTTCTCCATTATCTGAAAACTCAGTTTCAGATTGACCTTTCCTCCCTCGGCCTTTCCCGACAGGTTGAAGCTCGTGTCCCATTTTCTTATAGGTGCGTCTGCATGTGCCGTGAAGAAAAAAGGGTTAGGTTTTGAAAATTCTTTGCTCTCAATACAATTTGATAATAATTAGTTTTATTGAATAATAAAATTTTATTTCATATCTATAATCATACAATTATAAAAGAATTAGATCAAGGAAAACAGTAAATAATACTCCCTCCGTCCCAAAAAGATTGGTACATATTAACTTTTTGGAAAATTAAGGAAGGGATATTTTAGTATTGACTTTCCAAAAATACCCTTGATGTGATGGGTAAAAGTAGGATGTGATGGGTAGATTATTGAGAAAAAAGTATGATGTGATAGGTAGGGTATGAAAAAGTAAGGGGTAAAAGTGGTTTTTTAATAGAAATGTAACGGACTTTACGGGACGCAGTTTTTTTGAAACGTGTCGGATTTTTTAGGACGGAGGGAATAATTTCTTGTTTCCTATTAGCATGTAAAAACAAGGGCCAACTTAAGGGAAAAAATTATAAAAGTTACCAAACCATCCCACACGGGTGAGCTGGGAGGAGAAAGTAGGCCTAAATAAGTAGCTTAGTAAATAAAATACATCCTCCTTTTTTGAAAGATTGTTACAGTTTAACTTTTTTGGTAAAATTGTGGTATTTTTTTACAATGAATTAAATATAATTTAAAAGGATTAAATATGATAAAAATTTGATATTTCAAAACTATATTTTAAAATAAATTTGATTTTATTAAGTTTACATTATAACTGAATATACTTCTTTCATAAATCACAGTCAAAGGATGCTACAAATTGTCCAAAAAAATTACGGAATAAACTATAACAATCTTTTAGGAATGGATGGCGTAATTAAATGGGTTCAATGTAATTCACTAGGATCATAGGAAGTTTTTTTAATTGGAATCCTAGGAGGCCCATTAGTATGTTGGTTATGAAGCAAATTAATCATGCATGTACCACTATAATACCTTCAAAGCTCTTCTCTATAGATTCTTGAATAAGCTTGCTTAAATCCACATAGCTTCTTCCACAATCAAGCTCTCTCGAACCATCGAACGCTAAAGCGAATATCACGAACGGTCGTGGTTCGAAGTTCACGCTCGTCGTCCCGCTTCCCGGAGAGAAATACACGTGGCATGTGACGAATAGTGTCTCCTCAAATTCGGCGCCTCCTCTGGAGACTTTGGATGGCAAAGTCCTCACCGCTCCGCTTTTCGAGTCCTTCTTTTCGACGCAGACCACAAGGCGTTGCCCGTTCATTGAAGCGGGGAGGCTCTGAGCTGCCACCACTTCAACGCAGAATAGACAGCTCACCTTCTGCTTGCCGATGTGGGAGAGGGCCCGCATCGGCTTCCAGAAGCTGAAAATCCCACCTTTTGTCTTCGTCTTCCCCGTCTCATCATCGTCGCCAACGAGCTTCTTCTCCCCAGAACGCCAGTAAGAGAACGACGACGCGTGTCTAGACCGGAGTTCTGGGGCCCGCGAGGTGATTGCATCATCACCGCTACCGGTTTTTCCTGCAGGAAACTCTAAGCATGCAGCCTTGCAGGTGGTGAAAGCAGGTGAGCGGTTGAGGGACGCGCTCAATGCTTCCAACTCCTGCAAGAGCTGTAAGCTGCTGGAAGAATGTTTTGGGACCGAGGAGTGTTCCATGGATATTATCTATTGTCTATGTTGCTCTCGATCGATCTAGGGATGAAAATTATTTATACAATAAATAGTGAATAATAAAGAGCATTGAAGGAGAAATGAGGTAGGAAAGGTTAAACGAGTGATAAATATAGGGTGGGAGGGAATTGTATCTCGTGCATGCATGCTTGGTGCTTTCTGAACCAATGATTTTGTACGACATTAATATGTGAAAGATAAGGAAACAACAGACAACGTTTATATTTGGTCCTTCTTTTATCTCTTTTTTTGTTTTTTCTTTTTTAATTATTATTGTTTTAATTATTACTATGATTTATTTATGAAAATTTTTAATAAATAGCACTAAAACATAATAATTTTTTCTAAATAGTATCACATGTATTTTTTTTCAATGTAGCACTTTTAATCATTATTTATTAGTCATTATTCACGTAAATATTTGCCATTACTATACTGAACCGTCTGAACATCATGAACATTACTAAATGTTATTTAAGGAAATGACTTAGTTTTAGTCTTATTTAGTGCAAATATTTCTTTATTTATTGTCACTATCGCTCTCACCCTCTGTCACAATTAAATGTTGGTTAGCGGTTAGGTGCAAGAGATGGCTTGACTTTTTACCCTTTCGTCGTTTGGTAACTTGGTTTGAAGAGAAGGGTTGGAAATAGAAATGTTTGAACGATAATTTATCTTTGGTGAACAAGTGTTAGGAATTACTATTCTAGGAAAATATAACTAAGGAGTACGTTTTATATACGCCATTAATGAATCTTCTTCTTCTTTATCTTTTGAAATCTTATCTTAAAAATCTAATTTCTCACTCAGTCCCAAATACTCCCTCCGTTTCCAAAAGAGATTCCCTTATTAACTTTTTTGAAAATTAAGAAGGTATATTTTGGTGTTGACTTTTCAATAATATACCCTTGATGTAATGGATAAAAGTAAGGTTTGACGGATAGATAATTAGTAAAAATGTATGATATGATAGGTAGGGTATGAAAAAGTAAGGGGTAAAAATGATTTTTTAATAGATAAGGGAAGAAGTTTGTGGGACGAAGAAAAAACGAATGGGAAGATATTTTAGGGACGGAGGGAGTAGTTTCACTATGGAGCATTAACTTTTCTAGTCAATTTTTTTAAATTTTTATTACAAATTATGAAAAAATACATTTAATTGTAACATATGTTTAGTATAGTTGGTTCCTATTATTAGAATATGCACTCTTTGTGCCAATAAATTATTTTTATTTTTACTTTTCATTGGTCACAAAAACATTTCACTTACAATTAAAATCTTCTATACACCTATACTAATAATTATTAATATATATATTCTTCATTAATCTACTTATCTATTCTATTCTACTTAAATCCAACTATTTTCAAAAGTGAATTTTTTTTTGGAACAATAATGTTAATTACTACTCCATTCGTCCCAAATTAAGTTGTATTCACACAACTTCAAACTTTATTCTCTTTATTTCTTTATTTTTGTTATTCATTTGATAAAATAATAAAATCATGTTACGTCTTGTTTTGTAGATTTTTTTTTGTAGTTTTTTAATAAATAAATTTTATTTTTTAATTTCGCTCAAATTCTTAAATAAATTGTATTGAAAATTGTTAGACAATAATACTAATATTACTTCTAGTATTATTGGTTATGGTAGTGTTTGATTATTAGTCAACTTCTTATTCCAATATTTCAACATGGTATCAGAGTCATCGCTCTTGGTGACCTAAAAGAGCTTTTTGCTTCGTCGCCGCCATCGGTAATTCTGGCGACGGCGGCTCCACCCTATTCACCCCTATTTTCTTTTTTTTCTTTTATCCTCAAATCAACTTCTCTATTCAAATGAAAAAAGAAGAAGAAAACCTTGTTGAAATCACACAAAAAAACCATAAAAGGAGGAACTTCTCTCTTGTCATCTCCATGGTTCTTCAAAAAATAAACCCCAACTCCTCACAAACTCTCTCAACTCATCTTATCTTCTCAAAAAAGAAATAGGGCACTGTCTAGATCCAAGAAAAAGACAAAGAATGTCAAAGATCTTCACTCAAACAAGCACCTCCAGTAGTCTTCCCTATTCTTCTTTGACGTCAGCAGCTACAAGTGCACGTCAACCTTTTCTCTTCTTCCAACGACGTCAGCAGCCACCGGCGCACATCAGACTTCTCTCTTCTCTAATGACTTCGGAAGCCACCGGCGCATGTCAGACTTCTCTCTTCTCCAACAACGTTAACAGCCACCGGCGCACGTCAGACTTCTCTCTTCTCAAAATTTCCAGTTTCTAGCTAGTGTCCAAGCTTCCTCTTGCTTCAGCAAGAGTTCAGCTTGAAGGGGGATGTTAGACAATAATACTAGTATTACTTTTGGTATTATTGGTTATGATAGTGTTTGATTATTAGTCAACTTCTTATTCCAATATTTCAACAAAAGTAACTTCAGTCAAACATCAAAACAGTCGATTTAAATTGAGACAGAAGAAGTAGTTTTGATAGATCTAGTTTTATACTCCGTAACATTTATTAAAGTGTCACATTCGTGATCATGAAAAATTAAAAGTATAGATCTTTTTGGGATGTTTGGCAAAATTTTCAACGTTTAGTTATAAATTTTGAAAACATTGTGTAATGGCAATGGTTCTTTTTAAATTTTTCATGTAAATCTAAGATTTTAAAAAATCATTCAAGAGCGTACTATTTATTTAAAACGTTATTTTCAAACAAAAGGTTTATTACAATTATTAGGGAGTAATTTTGAATTGAAGTACGTTCATATGTACAACTGTTTACCAAAGGGCAATAATAGTATGGTCATTTATTGTAGCCGCACCGTACCTTATCATGTTGTCACCCAATCAAGGGCCAGGCCCAAAGCCCCATTCCATTATCAAGGGCCAGCCCCAAAGCCCCATTCCAAAGGGTAAACAAACTATAAAAACACATTTATTTAAATTTTACTATTCCTTCGGTCTCACAAAATTTTTTTAATTTTAATGCCCTGGATGATATGAGTAAAAGTAGATGCAATGGGTAGATTGATAAAGAAAAAAATGTGATGCGATAAGTAAGTTAAGAATTAGTAGGGTAAAAACGGAGTTTTTAATACAATTGAGAAAGATTTATTGGGACGGATGAAAAAAGAAAAGAAGAAGGTTTTGTGAGACGGAGAAAGTATCATTTTTATTAAACCCAATGGATATAATATATACACCGTGTTTTAATTTTATGACACACAAGAAATGAAAGAGAATAACACATTAATTGGTTCAAAGAATTTGAAAGGAAAAGAAAACAAAAAAAGATGGAAATTTTTTGTATCATTATTTGTTAGAGAAGAAAAGAAAAGAAATTGAAAAAACAAAACGTATTAAGTAGATAAAGAAGCAATTTTTTTTGGTGAGGTTAAACAAGTGAAAACTATTTTCTTTTTTCTTTTCTTCTAAATTCTTTGAACAAAGATAGTGTTAAAGAGTTTAAATTAAACCATGAGACAGGTTATATCGGAGACCCCTACATTGTGGGAATCAAAGTTAAAGGTTGATAAAAAACTAATTGTAAATTTGTAACAGAACATTTCGTTGGAGAAACAATATTCATGGAACCAATAATCATTAAAACTCCTAATGTTTCGCATTCTCAGCCTTTTATAACGTTGTAATAATACAATAAAATCCTAACCCACAATTTGTCTTAGGTAGAGAAGAAGAAGCAGCTAATTAATGATTAAGAAAGAATAGAATTAAACGTTTCCAAATAAAATTGCGATATAATAAACCCTAATTAGGAATAAAAATGGGGAGTCAGCAGCAGCTAAGGAAGGAGGTAACAAAAGAAGAAGAAGCCTCGTCATCAGGATTATTATTGCCCATGCAGAGCAGCTCTTACGTTAAACATACCGATTTGGAGGAGTACAAGCTCCATGCTTACGTCGGCGGTGCCGAAGATCGCGGCGGCCTTCATCCACGGCCGGTTTCCGGCAATGGCGGCGCCTGCCCACCAATGATCGACGGCGCCTCTGCCATCTCCGGCCAAAAGATTGCCGCAGCAATTGAGAAGAAACTCGCGTGATTCTTCATTACCTAGCTCCCATAAACAAATGTTTCCTATGTCTCATAGAGATGTTCTCATTTTCACTTTTAAGAGATTTAATGAAAAGATGTTTTTGTGTTGAACTTTCAAAAATATTGATAGATAAAAGTACGATGCGATGAGTAAATAATTAGTATAGAGGTATTATTGATAGGTAAGGTAATAATTAGTGGGGATAAAAATGATTTCTTAATAGAAAAAAAAGACTCCGTAGAACACAAAAATAAAGACAAAAGAAGATCTTTTTGAAACAGAGGGAGTACAAAATGAAGAACCCATTTTTCTTAGTGTGCACATTTTTCTCTCTGCTTCGTAGGGATCGGAGAATAAATTTGTTTGATTTTGTCGGGAGAGTCCGTACCCATTAACAACCACCCTTATAAGTTATAAGGGCTTGTTTAGTGAGTTTTGGAGAATTATATTTGCACGTACATTATCATTATGCGCTCTAATCTCAAGAAAATCGATAAGAGCAATATGAATTCTTAAATTTGAAATTAAATTCCTGAAAAGATTTGAAATATGTATGTGGTGGCACGCGGTTAGCAATGCCAATTGCCAAACAAAATAAATAGTAAAATTTGCACTAAATAGGACTAAAACATATTGACTTTCCTAATGTAGGACTTAAACTTTTTAATTCCCTAAATAGGACTTAATAATGACCTAGTGAGAAAAATAATGTCCAGTAATGATGGACATTTACTTGAATAATGACTACTTGATTATGACCAAAAATCCTACATTGGGAAATAAAAACATATGGTCCTATATTAGGAAAGTCATTATGTTTTAGTCCTATTTAGGTAAATTTCTCAACAAAATACCATGAGTGATGGAGTGGGGTCCTAAGCCAAGCTTTGCCTAGGTTATTAAAATCCAAAATGCCTTTCATCCTAGCTTGTATAATGCTCAAGGCTTTTGGCCGAGAAGCAAGAGATTTTTTTGATTAATTAAAAGTCCAAAAAGAATGGATTCTGATACAATTTGATAATAACTTGTCTTATTGAATATTGAGAGATATGGCCCTATATACAGGGAATACAAGAGTAATCAAAGTACAACTAGGAAAGGAAAGAATAATCCTAGTAGGAAAGAAAAGAAGTATCCTAATTTAATTATACTTCCTAATATCCCCCCGCAAGCTGATCAACGGAGACGAGGGGCAGCTTGGAACATAAGTACTCAAAAGGAACTGGCGGAAGCGGTTTGGTAAGAATGTCTGCTAGCTGCTCTGAGGAGGAAACATGATGTGGAGTCATAGTGCCTGCCATAACCTCATCTCGTACAAAGTGACAGTCTGTGCCCACATGCTTCATGCGATCATGAAGAACCGGATTTTTGGTGACACAGATAGTCGACTCATTGTCACAGTATAACT